GGGTTGGATCTCAGTCAAGGGCACGTGCCCGGGTTGCAGGCTCGGTCCCCCGTGCAGGAGGCAGCTGACTGGTGAATCAGTGCTGTGCTCTCTTCCTTAATGTTTCTCTCTCCCCCTTTCCCTCCGAAATACATTTTTTTTTAAAAGTCAAAGTCTTAGTGGTCTTCAAGGTCCTATACCCTGAGCCCCCCCCACACACACACACCCTGTACTACTCAAACCTCATCCCCTCCCCCTCTCCTCCCCTATCATGTCCCTCCCTTCACACCGATGTTCCTTAAACCCACTGGGCCCACCATCGCCATGGACCTCTGCATTTGCCGTTCCTTCTGCCATGAAGGATCCTCTTCCCTCTGACATACCCATGGCTCACTCTTCACCTCATTCAGGTCTGTGCAAATGTCAAATGTCTCCTTTTAGGGCCTCCCCTAACCACCTTAAGACTGAACAACCACACGCACACTCACACACACGCACACACACACACACACTTATTTCTAGGCTCTGTTCTGTTCCATTCATCTGTTCATCTGTTTTTATGCCAATACCATACGATTTTTTAAATATAGCATTGTAATATAGTTTGAAAACTGGGAGCACAATATCTTTAGCTTTGTTCTTTCTCAATATTGCTTTGACTATCTGGCATATTTTGTGCTTCCATACAAATTTAATATTATATTCACCTGTTCCATATTTCTTAAACGCTCACATTTCTCTAAACATTGCACTAGAATAAACCTAAGAGCACACGCACACACTCACACACTCACACACTCACACACGCACACACTCACACACGCACACACTCACACACACACACACACTCACACTCACACACACACACACACACTACCTCTTAACCTCTTTCTCTGCTTTATTTTTCTGCTTAGCACTTATCACCGTCTCATTTACTATAATTTTATTTATTATCTTGTTTTTGTCTGTCCAGGGAATTTTTCCTGTTCACTGCTTTATGCCCAACTCCTGACTGGCACATAGTAGATGCTCAAAAGAATGTTCGTTGAATGAATGCATGCATGAATGAGTGAATGGCACTCCAAGATTCAACTCCTGCCCGCCTGTCTAGGCACATCCTTTACGTCTCCCCCTCTTAACCCTCCATGCCAAGGCATATTTAACATCCGAGTCCTTGGCACACACCTGGATAGTTCACGCTTCTCTGTCTTCACCTGTGTTGTGCCCGCTTCCTCCTGGCCACATCCCCAGTCTTTTAAGACTCTTCTCAGTCAGGCGTCCACGGACCCCAGAGGTGACCCAGAAGACCCTCTTCTGCCAGCTTCCCGCCAGGTTTCCATGCCCTTTTCCCGCCGGCTCACGCCGCTCTCAGTCTCTAGTTTGGCTCCTCCATTGCCCCCGGTGCCTCTTGGGGCAGGAACCAGTCTCATTTTGTCTTCTTAGTGCAATGTCTGGCACCTAGAAGACACTCACTAGATAATTAGTAAATGAATAATACTTGCATTTAGTCAGTGCTTTCTCTGCTCAATATTCCCATGCTTAATTTGCATGACAACCTACGGGCACGGGGTCAAAACGGTTAAGAGTCTGTAAAGAGTTAACTGGAATGTAAAGTCTGTTCTGTCAGGCAGATGACATGAGACTGTATCTAAAGAACCCTAAAGATTCCACCAACATCTATCTGGAAAATTGGACAGATAGATACGAACAGAAACTTGACCACCTTCTTACACCGTATACAAGAATACACTCAAAATGGGTTGAAAACTAAATGTAAGACTTCAAACCATAAAACCCCTAAAGGAAAACATAGGCAGTAAACTCTCAGACATCTCTCTTAGTAATATTTTTTTCTGATACATCTCCTTGGGCAAGGGAAACAAAAAATGCATAGCAAAGGAAACCATCAACAAAATGAAAAGACAACCCACTTAATAGGAGATATTCGCCAATGATACATCTGATAAGGGGTTACTATCCAAAATTATAAAGAACTCATACAACTCAACACCAAAAACCCCCCAAAGTATCCAATTTAAAAATGGGCAAAGGTCTCGCCTCGGGAGCACACCCGTGCCTTTCTGTGCCCTTCCCTTCCCCCTTCCCCTCCCCGCCCAGGCATGTTACCATGAGCTCCTTCACTCCCAGGCTACAAGGGCCCTTCCTTTAGCCCTATAACGTGTTTCCTAAGCCCATTTCTTCTAGAAATTACTTTTTCTACCTCTATAATTTACCCAATAAATGTTCTCTTACAAAAATAAATAAATAAATAAATAAATAATGGGCAAAGGACTTGAATAGACATTTTCCCAACGAGGACATACAGATGGACAATAGACTTATGAAAAGATGTTCAATGACACTAATTATCTCTATAACGTGTTTCCTAAGCCCATTTCTTCTAGGAATTACTTTTTCTACCTCTATAATTTACCCAATAAATGTTCTCTTACAAAAATAAATAAATAAATAAATAAATAATGGGCAAAGGACTTGAATAGACATTTTCCCAACGAGGACATACAGATGGACAATAGACTTATGAAAAGATGTTCAATGACACTAATTATCTGAGAAATGCAAATGAAAACCACAATGAGATATCACCTCACACCTGTCAGAATGGCTACCATCAACAAATCAACAAACAACAAGTGCTGGCGAGGATGTGGAGAACTGCTGGTGAGAACGCGGACTGGTGCAGCCACTGTGGAAGCAGTATGGAGTTGCCTCAAAAAACTGAAATGGAACTGCTTTACGACCCGTGGATTTCACTTCTGGGAATATATCTGAAGAAACTCAAAACACTTATTTGAAAGAAAGTACGCGGACTCATGTTCATTGCAGTGTTGTTTCCAATAGCCAAGCTATGGAAGCAGCTCAGGCAGCCATCAACAGACGAGTGGATTTTTTTAAAGCTGTGGTGCATAGGTACAGTGGAATATTACTCAGCCATTTTATGTGACGGCTGGATGGACCTAGAGGGCATTATGATAAGTGAACTAAGTCAGAGGACGACAAATACCATCTGATTTCACTTCTATGTGGAATCCAAAGAACAATATAAACGAACAAACAAAACAGAAAAAGACTTATAGATACAGAGAATAGACTGAGGGTTGCCAGAGGGGAGGGGGACTGGGTGGAAAAGGTGGGGTGATTGAGAAGTGCAGACTGGCAGTTGCAAAGCAGCCCCAGGGACGTAAAGTCCAGCACAGAGAATACAGTCCAGAGCGTTGTGATAACTGTGTACTGTGCCAGGTGGGGACTGGAAACCCCAGGGACACTGTGTAAAGTATATGATTGTCTGACCACTATGCTGTACACCTGAAACTAATACAAAATAATATTCAACATCAACTGTCATTGAACAAATAAAAATATTCAAATTAAAAAATATAAATAAAGTCTGTTCTACCTGACTTGAGTCCCCACTGCTCATCCCCACCGTGAGCAAACCCCTCCCCTGCCTGAACCGCAGTCTGTGTGACAAGGTGGGACGGCCGGACTGACGGATCCCATCCAACTCTGACCTCTCGGGAGAGTGGCCTCTTCTAAGGACCAACTCAAGCCAATTTCACTTTCCAAACGTCATTGAAAGGAAACTCAAAAAGTTGAGAATCGAAACCAATGGCAGAAAGTTGGGCCAGAAGCCAAGCCTGTTAAGGTGGCCCCATTCCTCCCAACCTCAGCTCAGTGTCCCTCTGTGCCTCTGCCACAGCCAGGGGTCCCCAAGAAGGGCGCCCCAGACCAGCCCCGTCGCTCCTGGCTTCCTCTCCGCGATGGTCCGTTATCCCAGCAGGGTGCTAGAGGGTGACTGAGGAGGCGCTCCCTTAAAGAAAGGGGAGGGGCGTGGATGCCAGGAGCTGGGTGTGTGACTACATATCTGCCTGGCTGGGGTGCTGTCACACAGCCATGGCACTGTCCGCGGAGATGGAGCTGTACGGCACCCCTGCCTCCAGGCTGGACTCCTTCGTGGCTCAGTGCCTGCAGCCCAGCCGGGAGTGGAAGGAAGAGGTGCTGGAGGCCGTGAAGACCGTGGAGCAGTCCCTGAGGGAAGAGCCCCTCGAGGGAGAGTGTGGGCCGGACCAGGAGGTGCGGGTGCTGAAGCTGGTGAAGGTGAGACGGGGCTTCTCCATCCCAGGCCAGGGCCGGGCACGCCCAGCATGAGGGTCCTTATCTCTGAGGGTGCTGGGGACCTCTGCCTCCTTCTCCCTAGCCATGCTGCTGACGTCGCAGGGCGCCCCACCTCGCTGCCCGCACCCCACCCCACTGCTGCCTTGAGCAGAACAACCCGGCAAGGAAGCTAAAATAGTTCACTTTTTTGGGTGCACCAGCATAACCCTGAACAGGTAAGATCCCTATGCTGTGCACCATGTGAGGCAGGTACTGTTCTTTTCCCATTTCTCAGATGAGCAAAATGGAGGCTCAGAGACTTGAGATTCATAGCAACCAAATGCACAGCAAAGTCTTTGGCTGGCTCCTGGTGTGAGTAGATCATCCATAAAATATAGACTAGAAACAATTGGGGAAATTTTTTAATGAGAGAGAGAGAGAGAGAGAGAGAGAGAAGAAGAGAAAGATTTGTTGTTCCACTTCTTTGTGTTTTCATTGGTTGATTCTTATATGTGCCCTGACCTGAGATCGAACCAGCAACCATGGCATATTGGGAAAACACTCTAACCACCTGAGCTACCGGGGCTGAGGAAACTTTAGTATGACCTTGATATTAAATAAGATAAGTGAATCATTGCTGATTTTGTTAGGTGTGCTAGTTCTGTGCTTATGGGAGATATGTTCTGTTACTTTGTACACAAATGCTAAATTATTTAGGGACAGAGTTTCTTGTGTCTATAATTTACTTTAATGTGGTTTAGATGAAGCAAATGTGGCGAGAAGTTAAGACTTGTTGAATCTGACTGGATATATGCGTTCATTTTATTCTCTATGTTTTACTTTTTAAAAATATATATATTTTTATTGATTTCAAAGAGGAAAAGAGAGGGAGAGAGATAGAAACATCAATGATGAGAGAGAATCATTGACTGGCTGCCTCCTCCACGCCCCACACTGGGGATCAAGCCCGCAACCTGGGCCCTTGATTGGAATCGAGCCCGGGACCCTTCAGTCCACAGTCTGACCCTCTATCCACTGAGCCAAACTGGCCAGGGCTCTATGTTTTACATTTTTTTATAATAAAAAGTTGGGTTTTTTCCATGAAGGCACAGAAAGGTGAGGTGATTTGCCCCAGGCCGCACAGCTGGTGGTACAGCTGGGATTTGAACCGGGGTCTATCTAACTCTGCAGCCAGGGCTCCGGGTGCCCAGTGAGATTCCCCCGCAGCTGCTTCATGTCGCCTCCTGTCCTCACAAGGCTCCACATTCAAGAGGCCCAAACTAGAAAGGCCACGGAACATCCGACAGTCTCAGTCAATCCCTCATTTAAACATTGAGGAAACCGAGGCACAGAGAGGGTGAGCGATGTCCCAAGGTCACACAGGAAGCAGGTGGCAAGGCAAGACTAGAATTAAGGTGTTGTTCCTCCCCCCGCTTCTGGTTTCCAGCCCAGTGCCCTCGTCCTCCCTCCAGGGGAGCCACCTCCGGGAAGGATTTGGAAACCTCAGTCCCCATCTCTTCCCAGCATCTGAAGCTCGAGGTCAAGTGACTTATTTATTTTAATATTTTTATTGATTTCAGAGAGGAAGGGAGAGGGAGAGAGAGAGAAATATCAATGATGAAAGAGAACCATCAATCAGCTGCCTCCCCTAGGCCCCACACTGGGGATCAAGCCAGCAACCCTGGCCTGTGCCCTGACCGGGAATTGAATCATGCCCTCCTGGTTCATAGGTCAATGCTCAACCACTGAGCCACGCCTGCCCGGCTGACTCTATAACTGACTGTGACCGTGACTGCTGGCTAGGAGCCAGGGCAAGTAGCTTTCCCCCCACAGCCTGATTTCTCATCTGTACTTCAGAGAGAATTCTACTCGTACCCATCTCAGTCAAGGGGTGAGGATGAAAAGGTCTTGTCTGCACGAAGGGCTTTCAGGGGTACCAGACCCAGCGAGTGCTCACCCCACCGGCCGCCGCAGTTCACCCACCGGGAGAGGAGGCTGATCTGAGGCCGGTTCATGCCCAGCGACCCCACCTCCCGACAGAGAGAGAGAGAGAGAGAGAGAGATGATTTATGATCACAGCTGGAAAACCAAGGCAGGAGTCAGGTCCAGGTCAGGCTGCCCCACCCCACAGCCCAGGCTCTTACCCACCAGGCAAGGCTGCACCCCGCCTTCTCCCCCCCCCCACCCCCTTTAATGCCATAAATCACTCAGACCGCGTCCGCCTCCCTGTGGAGGGGCAGTCATGGTCCCGGGGCGCAGACATGGCTGCAGGGGAGGACAGTCTCAGAGCGAAGCCGGGGAGGAACCTGGGGGCCTGCGCACCCTGCGACCCTGGGCGAGCGGCTTCGCCCCGCGTCTGTTTCCTCGCCTGTAAAGGGGGAGATGGGTGCCCCCCACCCCCCGTCGGGGGGGGG